GTTTTTCAACATTGAGCATCCTTCAAACCTATAACTCCACTCCAAAAGAAATCCCATGAATATTAACTGATGATTAGCTGTTAAGGGTGGAGAGCATGCCACCAGTTGCGGTTGGTAACACAACCTCCCAGCCTGGTCATTTCAGAGGAAGTAAACTGACAACAAACTCTGGCTTTCCATCTTCAGCTAATGGACCAGGTCCCTTTAGAGGAAGTAAACTAACAGCAAATACTTTAACATCTTCATCAGATCCCAACCTTCACCAATTAAAACATACAGGACGAGTGAGAAAAATCAAGAATTTGGCTGGTGCAACAAAAAAAAGAAAAATACTGGTATGTCATTTAGGTGAGAAAAGAAGAAGAAAATGGTTGTGCTTTCTACTTCCAAAGGTATTATACTCATATCTGGAATTGGCCCCCCATATAGAACTTGGCCAAGTTAATGCATATGGCTCACAATTAAAACTCTACAAAGACCATAACAAATGTTTGTGTATGAAAACTTTGAATCTTCAATCTAACTACAAATGAAATTAAAAGCAGTGATAAAATATTAATGGGACATTTGCTATCATTCAACATAAAATATTACCATTAAAGTACAATGCGAAACTAAAAAAAAAAAAATGGGACATTTGGATTCGCATCTACATTGAAGTGAACAAAATTTGAAGCGATTGTCGTACTTTGACTGCTGATGTTGTTTACCATTCCTAATTGAGTATGAGATATGTCTCCAATATTGTCCACCGTTTGCATTTGACTAAACTGTGTCTATTCAATAAACAAGTACACTTTACAAATATTGTCCATTCAATATGTATATCAAATAAAACAAGAACAAATATTTTAGTTTAAACATTAACCACATATCGGTACATACATACTCTGTTGCGTGCCATCCAGGCAAGGAAAATAGTAAGGTGCAGTTTGCGTCACCTTATGATCATACTAACATAATTTCATTATACGTAAAAGACATTAAAATAAAAAATAACGAACAACATAAAAATTCAAATACATACCGGGTCATGATAAGTATTGTATTGCATATCATCTGTACTAGGAAAATTTAACTTCCGAGGCTGACATTGAGGAACCGTGCGTCCCTATAGTAAGACATAGACACATAGGTGAATAATTTATGTTAAATACATTCAACAATTTCCATGTTACACACAAAAAAAAAACTTACATGTGACACACACACAAAAAAAATTACTCTTTCCTTCAACCAATTCAATATTGCATCCACTTTGCTAACCTTCTGTTTGGTACATGGACGTCCTCTTCGGCGAGCAACCATTGGACTAAGCATCTTGCGAGACATGCTTGCTTTTGTAGTACTACGAGCAGACGGACTTCTCAACGAACTATGAGAAGGTGGTACATTACTAGTAGAAGGTGGCACGTCACTAGTAGAAAGTAGTGCATGACTCGCACTACCCGATTGATCTTTTCTCACTCTATCCTTGATTTCTATCAACCCAAGATCAAGCACTTTGTGTTTGCCATCATCGTTGGCAGCAATTTCTACGATTTCATCCAACATCTTGTGGTATTTTCATGCAACTTTGCATTAAGAACAGCCCTGACTTTAGTGTATGTGGTTGGAATGCATGTGTACCCTCTTTCGATATCTTTTCTCCATCTTGATACAATGTATTTATCTGGCACCTGATATATACACCTCTTAAGTAGCACAGTAATTGCATGGACACACATAATACCCCTAAACTCAAACCACCGACACATACAATGCAATTCATATTCAGTTGCATTAAAGTACACAACAAATTCCACAGTCTTCATTTTCTTACCAACAAAAACAGCCTCCTTCACATGATAAGTACAAATTGCTCCCTCCTCTTTGACAAGATTCGCACGATAATACAATAGTCGTTTCAATTCTACTTGCATTTCTTTAAATTTTGCATTCGTGTAGGCTGCATGAAATTGCTTCTCAAACTCATATACCGTTAAGCTATCATACAATTTGTTTCGAGATTTAAAGTCTGCTTTCATCTCAGCATTACTTCTCAAGGCATTATCATACTGTTCAACAAATTGCTTTAAAGTTGTCTTTGAGTTCACATATCCATCAAAAAATGTGTTCATGTTCTCACTTCGTTGTGTAGTCGATATGCCAGCCCAAAAAACATCATTCACATAGGCAGGAATCCACCTATGTTGCTCACTGTATAATACCCCCAACCATTCATTATCATCTAGCTTGAACTTTGCAATCATAGCTTGCCATTCTTCATCAAATTTATCTTTTGTAAAACAATCATAAACTGCATTTTGCAAAGCAAGCTTAATGGATTCATATTGGGCATATCCTCTTAATTTTTCAGGAATTTTCTTCATGATATGCCATAAGCACCAACGATGTCAAGCTTGTGGAAAGACAACTTCAATGGCATTTTCCATAGCTTTGCACTGGTTTGTTATTATAGCTTTTGGAGGAATGTCAGACATGCAACTTAACCATTCTCTGAATAGCCACACAAATGTTTCATTGTTCTCATTAGATAATAGCCCACAACCAAGCAAAATTGACTGCCCATGGTGATTAACTCCTACAAACGAAGCAAATGGCATATCATATTTGTTTGTCAGATAAGTTGTGTCAAATGAAACCACGTCCCCAAATGCTTTGTAAGTTGCTCTACTCCTTGCATCCGCCCAAAACAAGTTGCGCATGCGATCATCTTCATCGAAGTCAATTGCAGAATAGAAGTTCGAATTTTGTTGTTGCATCCTATGAAAATAAAGTGCAACTGATTCAACATCTGCTACCTCAAGCCTCAATCTTTTCATACTCTGAATATGATTCCTTGCATCTCGTTCATCAAATGTTAATGCCTCATACCCCCCTGCTTCAACAACTATAGAATGAAAATTCCTAGCCACCCATATTCCTGCTTCATCGTTTATTTCTAGTCTTCTATTCACAGGGGTAAGAATTCTCTTATTCATTGCAAAATGTCGTGAGTTACTAGGAACCAAGTCATGCGTATGTTCAAGCACAATTGTGGTCAACTTAAATCTTCTATCCTTTTGTAGAGTTGCTCTAACCTTTACTTTACATTCAATGAATGATGACAAAGATGGTTCGAGAGAGTGTACTTCTAATCGTTTTGTTCTCTTGTGTGCCCGAGTACATTCAATTCCAAAGTCATACTCTGAATATGATTCCTTGCATCTCGTTCATCAAATGTTAATGCCTCATACCCCCCTGCTTCAACAACTATAGAATGAAATTTCCTAGCCACCCCTATTCCTGCTTCATCGTTTATTTCTAGTCTTCTCTTCACAGGGGTAAGAATTCTCTTATTCATTGCAAAATGTCGTGAGTCACTAGGAATCAAGTCATGCGTATGTTCAAGCACAATTGTGGTCAACTTAAATCTTCTATCCTTTTGTAGAGTTGCTCTAACCTTTACTTTACATTCAATGAATGATGACAAAGATGGTTCGAGAGAGTGTACTTCTAATCGTTTTGTTCTCTTGTGTGCCCGAGTACATTCAATTCCAAAGTATTTTACTTCCCCATCTTGTCCAATATTCTGTGTTCTATAAGCTACAGCAAATCCGAGGTGCTTCGCATATCTTGCATAAAACGAATATACTTCCTGCTTTGAGCTAAAACAAATGCCCTTCTTAGGTTCTTCAACTTCACCAATCTCATTTAATGACGGATTGTTCTCCGTCTCTTCAACTTCTTCACTCCCATTCAATGAAGGATTGGTTGAATCAATGTCCATTGAAGCGTGTAGTTCTTGTAGCTTCAAACCAAATAGAAAATAAAGTGTAAGTGCATGTATGTGCATTTCAATTTTTCCAACTGAGATGAATTCAACACTGACATTAATTCAACAACACTAAGATTAATTCAACACATTGATCTCAGTAATGAGTAATGAGTTGATTAATTCAACACACTGAGATTAATTCAACATTCAACACTGAGATTAATTCAACACATTAATTCTTACACTGAGATGATCTCAATAATGAGTTGATTAGGTAAATTAAGAACACTGAGATTAGGTAAATTACCCTAAATGATAAAATTAGTTTCAAACATAATTTCTCAACTAACACATAAAAAATCAGGACTTTCAGGATTTTAATTACACAGATTAGCATCAAGAAAGATGACACAGATTACCATCAAGACTTTTATCAACCAACACATAAAAAATCAGGGCAATTTCTCTATGTGGACTTTCATCAAACAATTGCCATGCATTACTACCATGGAAATATTTAACAGGGGGCTTGCTTCCAGAACAACCAAATTTTTTTTTTAAACATACATAGATCAAATCATTCTCAAAAGTCTCTTACAATTATTTTTTTTTAACATACACAGAACAACCAAATTATTTTTTTTTTAACATACATAGATCAAATCATTCTCAAAAGCCTCTTACAATTTTTTTTTTTAAACATACACAGAACAACCAATTACTTACCTACATGCACAGATACGAAATGGAGATTCTGAACAGCGGTGGACGGTGGTCAGCGACGCTCGTCAGTAAACACCAGGTCGGTCGTCGTCTCTCTCACCGTCGTCGTCGTGGTCGCAACCTCCCTTTCTTTCCCTTCTCTCCTCTCTTGTTTTTGTTTTTTGTTTCATTTCATTACTTTGTACAGAACACGTGAGCTCCACGTGCATCAAAATTTTGGAGAGAAACCATTTCGAGTCATTCGAGCCGTTGGGTATTTCAGGCCCTGTAGCACAATTGTATTATTAATTAATCAATGAACCACTTTTTCTCACTCATCTCTCCTCTCACATTTTATACATCAATCAATAAAAAAAATTATAAATTATCTCAAAATTATTTTTAACATTAATAACCAAATAAATTTTTTCTTTATAAATCATGATTTAATAACTCAAAACTTAAAATCTAATTTCTCACTCAAACCATAATTTTAAACCAAACCAAAACCACTCTGAATTTGGTGACCGGTACGGTATTGGTAACATTGATTAGGATACCAAGGAATGTATTATGTAGGAGGGAACTTCGTATCGATCTCTTTGATTCAAAACGTGATCAATTCCTTTTCATTTTTGTTCATTTCTTTATTAATCCTAAAAAACAAAGAGAAATCCATTTTTATTTATTTTCTTTTTCTTTTCTCTCCAAATCACTCCATCGAAACGGAGCTAAAAAAGTTACGTGCCTGAGCTATCTAGGGTTTCCATAAAATTCCGATTGATTCCACTGTTAAGCTTTTGTCTCCTCCTTGAATTCGATTCGTCTTCTCTATGGTTCTGTCTCAGAAGCTTCACGAAGCCTTCAAAGGCACGGTAGAGAGGATCACGAACCCTAGAACTGTCTCCGCTTTCAAAGAGAAAGGTGTTCTCAGCATCACCGAGTTCGTCCTCGCCGGCGACAATCTCGTCTCCAAATGCCCTACCTGGTCCTGGTAAAAATTTCATTTTTTGTATTGTATTTATTATGGGAATTTGATTGCTGAGATTATGTGGGATAGGTGGTTTTTATTGAAATTCGTATGTTTTGTTGTAGAATTTAAGCTTGACTTGTATATTTGTTTCGATTTTAAGCAGATAACCAGTGTAACTTAACTCTTTGCAATTTGATCGTTAATTTTTTTGGAGAATATAGGGTTTAGTTTGTGGTTTGGGATTGACTTACGGGTCTTAATTTCGATTCCGTCCAAGTTATTGAAGTTCTTTTGGAATCTGAACTAGTTGAAATTTACTCCTTTTTTATTTTATTATTTTATTTTTAATAATAACAAAATAGTTATTAACCCTTGTTTCCTTAGATTCTAACTGATCCTATGAGTTATTGATCTTGATTTTCAGCTGAGCTAATGCGCTTTGCGCGCGCACACACACACATACCCAATCACAAATAAATTTTTCTTTTGATTATGTGAAATGCTCCAATAATTTGACTCAAGTCTTACGAAAGATTTGATATCCTTGTCTCATCATGGCTGATGTGCCTATTGAAATTGTGAAATAAATGGATAATGGACGTTGTTTTTGTTTGAATGGGGAGGAGAGATAATACCATTGCATCATGATTGGGGATCATGGCAATGAGGTGGTTAGTACTTGTTTTGCTCTTTATTTAAATTTTGGTAGCTGGAAAATTGTCTCCAAAGGTTAAACCAACGAGTGAATGAAGTTTAGGTACTTCGAAAAATTTCAATGCAACACATAACATCTTTTGGGCTGATACTTAAGGCAACTCTTTGTTGTGGTGCTCCAAACATGGCCTTAGTTTTGATAGTCTTTTACACATTTTGGTTACTGGAATATTTCATTGTGATCCTGGTTTCCCTTTTCATGGGGGTTGTTCTCCTTTGTCAACAAAACTTTGGGTGATGTGGGTGTACAAGCCCAAGCACGTAGTAAAAACGCCAGGATTGATGGGATGCATATAGCAACCTAATTAACAAAACTGTGGCTGATGCAACTCAGGACTCGTGCCTTTTAGTAGTTGGGAGTGTAATATTGTATTGGGCTGAGGGGACTGAACTAACAGTGGTGTTTTCTCCCTCTGTTTCTTATTTTAGCAAACCACTCAAGTGTAAATTAATGCAATGGTAGCTTCTTTTTGCCGCTGCTAGCTTTTTGTCAGTTTTTTGGTTTGTTTTCCATGGCTTATTATTTTGCTACATCTGGATAGGGAATCAGGTGAGCCAAGCAAGAGGAAGTCGTATTTACCGGCTGAAAAACAATTTTTGATCACAAGAAATGGTAAATGACATTATCTTTTGCTATTTTCTCTACTTGTTTCGTTATCTTCGTAAAAAATCTTCATTTGGCGGTAAAAGCTCTTGTAATGCACCCTCACAGCTAATATCACATAGTTATTGTTCTTGTTCTTTCCTGTTATTTTAGTAGTTTTCTACCTTCGTTTAGAAGTTTTCTGTTTTTAAAACATAAACATTCATGTGCAATGCTTTCTACTATTGGCAAAATTTAAAGGGTAAAGGTAAAGGGATGCACATTGGTACAATACTGTTACGAAGCCAGTATCGAACTGCAATATTGTGAATGCAAGCACGGCATTATAGCATTTACCTTGCAAGCCTTAAAAGGGTCATTGTTGACTACAGTCAATTGTTGCGAGGAAAATTCTTATTTGGGTTGTAATGTTCTTCAATCACAACTACTTAAAACTAAAATCTAAAAGCAACAGTAGCTCACATTTGTCCCTTACTGACACGTGCAATCTACATGTATAGCGTTCCATAATACTTGGGCAACTTAATGTTAGATGTTTTAAGGTAGCTTGAGTTTCCCTGAACCTAGTTGGCGGTTTATGACATCAATGCTCAATTTTTATCCACTTGTAAAGAAAATATACTTGTGAATAAATTATGTTTCTATAGTCTTATCTGACATGATTTTTTGGGGTTACTTTGTCATATTTTTAGCTTTATTATAATTTATTTTGGGTGTGGGTGTGGAGCTATGTTACTTGAAACATGGATTGTCCCGGTACGGGGAACGAAATGGGAACGGGGTAGACCACATGCTTTAAAATGTGGTATGATAGGGGTAGACTTGAATATATTATACTTACGAATTTAGGCCTTGTTTGATTCCACAAGACTAATAGTGAGGTATAAATAATCGTATCAAATTAGTGTGGTATTCACAATCCCACCCCTACCCCATTATTAATAATCCTTCAAATTTGTTAGATTAATTATCCATTGGATTAATAATTCTAAAACAAATTGTCAAAACAAACATGGGATAATTGGGCCCACGGATTAATAATCCCAATCCCATGCTCTAATCCTTCCAATCAAACATGCCCTTAAGGTACTCATAGAGTAAATTTCTTTTAACTATTAGGCATATAATAAAATTTAGTTTTTTTTCTTCATATAGCAAAACATTTCTATGAGTATTATGATTCTTTTTTTATGTTTTGTCTTATCAAAACTTAACTTACCTTAGATTTTAATTCATTGTATTTGATTTTTCCCTCCTAAGGAAACATTTAAGGAAAATTATTAGAAAAAAAACTTTTGGATTTATTTTAGATCGCTAAATTTACTGTTTTGGAACATAAGTGTACTATATTTTGGAACGTGTGTGCCAATACATAATTCGCTAGGGTATTAGCGTTTTCTGGTAACATAGGTGTGGAGAGGTGGGTTTGCTTAGCCAAACAGGGAAAAAATGGATGTATGTTGATGGAGAATCAAAAGAAGGCATAAGATTAGCTTCTCTTCCTATTTATGTGTGCGTGCGCACATGCATGCATGTACAAGTTCAAATTGATACTTTTCTGGGTTTCTTTTCCAAGATTTCAATACTCTGTGCCTGCGTGTGTGCGCTCAACATTGTGCATTGTTATCATCAGGCATCAACGTTCACTGTGGCAGTGATTATCATCATCTTCATGAATCAATTTTTTTTTTTCTTCTCTTTTAATGTAAAGCAATATTCAAAAGGAAGCAGATTGAAGACATATGTTACCTCTCAAAGAACACGAAGAACTGGAAAACAATACATTATAAAATCTATCAGACTAGCCAAAGAGTTAGCCAGCTAATTTACAAAATTACTACAAAGCTTCATAACTGATAATCTTTATTATTGGCCTCTAGAGGTTGGAAAAACAATTTATTGATGGCATCTGCATTAATTACACACACACACACACACACACACACAAAAGAGAGAGGCAGAAAAGAGCTTATTTTCTTTCTCTTATGATCTTATCAATGCAAATGTTATTTTATTGCAAGTGCACTTAATTTTTTATGCATTGTCTATTATAACTCCTTTTCTCAGTTCCTTGTCTGCGTAGAGCTGCATCAGTAGAAGAAGAATATGAAGCTGCTGGAGGTGAAGTTCTTCTTGATAATGAGGATAATGATGGTTGGCTGGCAACTCATGGGAAACCAATAGGTATGTTGTTTTGCAGCCAGATAATCTTAACAATTGAAGTTTACCATTTCTGATGTTATTCTTTGTATTGCTTAGAAAACAAATGTGAGGAGGAAGAAAACCTGCCTTCCATGGAGACTTTAGAGATCAGCAAGAAAAATACTATTCAGTCAATCTCTTCGTACTTTGGGGGTGACGATGAAGATATACCAGACATGGAAGAATATGAGGAACCTGACAACCTTATTGAAACAGATCCTGTAAGTTGTTGCATGCACCTTCTTTTAAATTCTAAAGTATTTTTCTTGAATGTAGTATTTTTAAATTTGTTTGGGATTTGCATCTTCCTAACCTCTAGGAACTATTTGTTTCAAAGAAAATTTGATGGCCCAAATTCATTCTTCATGTGAAGATTCGATGTTGAAGCTAATGTTTTACGGGTCTGCTATTTCATCTGAATGAATGACTGTATCTTGAACTGGATGTTATGGTTCTATTAAGTTATGACTGTCATGCTAGTCTTTGATGGATTTAAGTGCATTTGAAGTTCTGAATTTGGTTTTTGTTACAAGGTTTGTGTCTAATTCGGGCTTCTTTTTAAGTTTTAATAAATTCTGTGTGTATATTGTTGCAATATTAACAATTAATTTGCTAGAAAGTCTTGTGCAATGAATAAAACATTTTTAGAGAGAGATTTTTTTCTGGCTGGTTGTGTGATATGCTAAGCTTTGTTGAGAAAATGACATGTGCTTATGCCAAAACTGTGGTTATATTGGCTGCTGAGTAGTATTTGCTACTGGCTGGGCATCCAAAAGGGATGGGTGAGGTCATGGATTCTATTCTTATTGTCCAGAAAGGGGATTTGCTTATCTTTGTGACGTTGTGATGCAATTGCAATAGAGCAAAAGATATAAAAAAGAATAGGAATAATGCCTATTTTATAGAGCTGTAAATGAAGTAGGAAATGTAATATCTAGTTTAAGGAGTAAGTTGGTAGGAAAATCAAACTGATCCAGGACAGCTTTAGGATGCTTGGCCTTAGTGACGCAGTATAGAAATGTGAACAGCAAAATTGTGCAGCAATGAAAGCTGCAACTCTTCTCCCACCTGTGGAATCCGAAGATTACCACTTGTCGTCTTGCTTCTACTAGTGCCTTTTGCCTTTGCCCTATTTGTCCAGAAGTTCTAGAAACTCTATGGCCAAACGCCCAGCATCACTTAGGCTGCCTACAATTGGAATTGTAATGGGTTTTGGCTCTAGGAAGTTGCTAGGGTTAGGATTCTATAAGGAAGAAGAAAGCTTTTTGAATGCCTTGTTTGAAAAAGTGAGATTTGGTTTGATTTCATTTTTCAAAAGGGTCTGATAACTGGATTTTTGGAAATGATTCTATTTGAGAGACTAAAAGGTGAGTAATTTAGGGTTTAATGGTTATATTGAATGCTAATATGTGGGGGAGGAGTTAGGGTTGATTGGGCGTTGTTGGCTAGTGTGCACTCTTGGGAGGTTGTGAGTTGTGAATACCAAAGAACAATATTGAAAAGAACGATTACATGAAAATTTATAGACGGCTATAGCCAAGATTCTGAAAAGCGGATGCGGTCGCTGTAACGGTTGCGGTTGCGGGGTGTAAAGGCCGTAGCGTAACAATTGCGGTAACCGGAACCGTGAATTTTTTAATTTTTTTTCCAATTTGAAAAAAACTTACCGATACACATTTTTTTTTCCATGATCATATTTATTGGGTTTAAAATAAATATTGATCAATTTTTGTAAATTTTTAAGTATGATCCAATATATTTCACATTTTTAAATCACTATAAGCTGAGTTTTTTACATTTTATTTTAATAATTAATGACTTTATATTATACAAAAAATCAATCACTAACTATTATATATAAGATAAACAACGGTAGGAAGTTGCTAGGGTTAGGATTCTATAAGGAAGAAGAAAGCTTTTTGAATGCCTTGTTTGAAAAAGTGAGATTTGGTTTGATTTCATTTTTCAAAAGGGTCTGATAACTGGATTTTTGGAAATGAGTCTATTTGAGAAACTAAAAGGTGAGTAATTTAGGGTTTAATGGTTATATTGAATGCTAATAGGTGGGGGAGGAGTTAGGGTTGATTGGGCGTTGTTGGCTAGTGTGCACTCTTGGGAGGTTGTGAGTTGTGAATACCAAAGAACAATATTGAAAAGAACGATTACATGAAAATTTATAGACGGCTACAGCTCTCATTTACAAGGACTTCAACTCATAAATAGGAAGAGAATTAAACCTTCTCTAATTACAATTCTAAACCATCTAAATATCGATCATATAATAATGATTGCTACTTAACTATTTTTAACTATGTGACCAATCCCTTGAGGCCCTTGTTTTGCTTGGCTTTATATTATGGTAGCCCTTTGCATCACCTTGGAGCGAAAATTATATCAACGCTCTCTACTATATCTCAAAGAAGCTGGTAAAAGGTTTATAAAGTTGGCCCCTGTTGATTCAAAGTATGATAGCTGACCTAACTAGTCTTCACATATTGGATTGTTTCTCTCCACTTTTCTTTTTCCTAATCATATGCAAATAGTGTATATCTCACAATACGATGTTGCTTCTAAGACTTGAGAAGGATAAAGCAATGAAGGTTTATTTATTCAATGTAGTTTACAATGGTTGAGAAGAATGAACAAACAAATGGTATACATACGTGAACACGTATAAATATGCACACGTCTATATTTAAAAAAAAAAAAAAAAAATAGATGCACACATTCATATGCTTGTGTTGTCAAATGTGGAGGTTACATAGGGGATATTTTCTTTCTCCTTGAAAATGCATCAAATTCTTATAAGAAGCGATGTACAATCTAGTTTTGTGGGAAACAGCTCCTTTAACACTCCTGTACACGTCGAAGGTTCACATGGACATGAGTGTCGAAGTGATAATAAGCTTTAAAATTTAAATACAATGTTTCTTTGTAATTTTTTTAAGCGGTGTTTTGGTCATTGCCTATGGATTATGTATTGTAAGACTGTTCAATCTACTGTTCAGGCTGAAGCCTTGATATTGTGATTTACGTAATTATCTGATTAATGCAGGCAACCCTTCAGTGTACATACCTTGTGGCTCAGGAGCCTGATGATGACAATATTCTACGAACCCGAACATATGATGTCAGCATCACGTAAGTTAAATTAGATCATAATCCTCTTGATAGCAGTATTTGTTCATGTTTGCACATTGATTAAAATCTATTGCTCTTTTTGGTTTCTTTCATTTCAGGTATGACAAATATTATCAAACTCCTCGTGTGTGGCTTACAGGATATGATGAGGTTGGTCACACTTTTTTGACCTTTTCTTCATTGCTATTGCTACATGTTCGACTTAACTAATGAACAACTCATACTAAAAAGTTATACAAACTTGCTTGTATGTTTGCTGCCTTTTGTTTGAAGCTTCTATGCCTACCATTGTCCCAATATTAATTAAGCCTTTTGTCCTCTTCTTGTGCCTCTGTTAGCCATTGAAGTTATATTTAAAAGTTAAACGCAGATGGCAAAATCTCTCAATCTTCCTTAAACATGAACATTAATGTTATTTTATATTTTATATTATTTCTTTTTCAATTCTTTAGTTCATATATATATTTTAATTACCAATCCTAATTTCCTTGGTCTATATTACTAATTTGTCGGTTTAAAATCAAAATTATAAAGCTGAGTCATATTTGAATTTTATCAAAATCCTCTTCATCTAGGAAGCATGGATACGGATATTAGATAAGGATATGATACGATATGGATATGGCGATACGACAAAACCTAAAACAATAGAATACGGGTACGGCTAGGATACATTTGTGAAAAATATATTTTTAAAAATTATTAGTAGTGAGTTACACATAAGGTAAAGAATGTTGAGAAATAATTCAAAATACTAACATTTAAAATTAATGTAGTAATTTAAGTTAGTAGCTTGTTTACCTGTTAAATTTTCAATACATCTTGTAAATATTTCATTTATGTTTATATTACAATAATAGAACAATCCACAACTTGTCTATGTGCTTTTCCCTTTGACACTAGTAAAAAATATTGTATTCAAATTTACTTGCTTATTTATTTATTGATATTTAGGTCTCGTTTGGTAACATCACTTTTTAGCCTAAAAGTCAAAAAGTCACTAAAAAAATAAAAAAACCAACAACCTATACCAAAAAGACGGAGATTCCCTTTCTCTCTATTTTTTGCACATTTTTTCGTAAAAAATCAAAAAGTCATTCCAAACATACTAGTTTTTTTTACATCATATTTTAGCCAAAAAGCCAAAAAGTTACTAAAAAAGCCTGTTTCCAAATATTCTTTTGTTAATCTTTACTTTTAGGGCTGGTTTGGCAAGTTTTAAAAAAGTCAAAAAGTCACTATCCTATTTAAGTCACATCATCTTATTTAAGTCACATCACCTCTCTAACACATCACTTCAAACCCAACCCAGATCCAACCCATATTTCATAAAAAGTTAAAAAGTGCACTTATTTAGATTATCCCAAACAACCCCTTAATGTTGTTATAGGAGACATGCATAAAACAATTAGGATACATCAATTTGACAAATTCTATTATTTAACTCAATATGTTCTTCTTATCAATGAAATAAACAAAGTATTAGAAAAATATTCTTATAGTTATTCTTGCAACAATATTATATTATAATATTATGCAAGAAATATTGCAATTCTAATTTCGTAAAACAAGTAATACATGATTTGGAGTATCCGATACTCGAAAATTAATGAAAAATTAATTAAGAAGTATTTGATACTTTTAATAAGTATCCGGTACGTATCCTCTAGCATCCAACGAGTATGGGTATCTAATACATACACGATATAGATGCGTCACCTTATTTGAAGTATACGTGCTTCATAGCTCTTCATCACCACTCAGAAGATATGTTTATAGGTGTCATAATGTTGATTAGAAACCATTACAAACATTCTAATTGTGATAAATAACGTTTGAACATGTTCTTCAATGAGTTTTTAGCTTTTGCTAGTGCTTGAAAAAAAACCTTAAGTTCAGTTTTTGACTCTCGTTGCACATTGGTCGATATATCGTTACACAGTGACCACAACCGTTACACCAGCCAAAACCGTGATTTAAATTCATGATCATTAGTTCAGGTGTCACCTCACGAGGCCAACACGTGGAACCAAGTTGCATGACTTGGCACCTATGTGGCTTGCCATGTGGACCTGTGGGCCTGTATTTTTCTACCGTTGTTAATGCAATTGTGAACTTATAAACTAACGTCATGTATTTTATTTGGTGTGCACACTATTGGTTTTTTGTGCAGTCGAGGATGCTTTTGCAGCCAGAGCTTGTACTTGAAGATGTTAGCCAAGATCATGCACGGAAAACGGTGAGATGAAATTGGATTCCTTAACAATTATTAAATGGCTCTTAGTTTGTACTTTGTACTTTGTACTTTGTATGAGTTCTATATGTTTGCGGATTGAAACTCCATCTGCGATAAATTTTATCTAGATATACTAACTTTTTGGTGTCTGCAAGCAAACTCACTACAGTATTGTTTTGGTAATATGGGAAACTCAGTTTTGTTCTAAAATTTCCTTTGGCTGTTGTCTTCCTTAGTGGCTTTCTATTATAGGAAAAATTTAGTCCACATTGACCAAAGTTTGAGGTATCTTAATGGGTATGCCAGAAACTTTCAAAAGGACCAACTTTAATCTCACACAAGTATTTTAGGAAGTGGGTCTATGGGACATCTTATGGTTTAGCTGTTCAGGCTGTACATGCTCCTACATTACGTGGTGTTGTTTCTTTCTCAAACAAATTGTAACTCCCTAATCCTAATTGCTTCCCAGATTTGTACTGTCCTTGTTTCAGTTATTTTCTTTTGGTTTTACTAGTAGTGTCTTTTTGTTAATAAGATGTGCAATTTCTGCATACTTTTATCTTAATCAGTGAGCTTTTAGAGGTGCCTTCTGCACTTAAATTGAATCTTGGTCTTTCCATCTTATTCTTTGTGAATTTTGGTTCACATTTCTGAGATGAGAATTTTGGTTCACTTTACAACTGCTTCATCTTTATGTAGCTTGACTGATAGCAAAAGTCCTATCTTATTTATTTTGTGATTAATTATAAATTCATAACAAGATGGCCTGAGCATGTTTCAAGTACTTTCTTCTTTCCTCTTAAGACTTGAATTTTTTTGTTTTTGTTTTGCCTATTTGTTCTTGATTTGATGCTCTGCCTCTACTTATTTCCTTATTTTTTGGACTATATGTCATTTGTTCTAAGCATTGTTGAAACTCAGGTAACTATTGAAGACCATCCACACTTGCCAGGGAAACATGCATCTGTGCATCCATGCCGTCATGGAGCTGTGATGAAGAAAATTATTGATGTTCTAATGTCACGTGGAGTTGAGCCAGAAGTTGACAAGTAATTTTCTTTCTCGCATCTCACACAGCACTTTTGATTCAGTTTTTGTCTGCTTCAGAGAATCAGGTTAAGCAGTATGTCTAGTTCAGTGTGGTTGTTGAGGACCTATATCTATGACTGTATTCTGAATCCGAAGTTTTTCAATTGAGTAAACTTCCAGTTGTGGGTTAGGTCAGAAGTTGAAAGACCTGGTAATACGTGTCTTTATGTGCCTGCATTATTTATTTAATGCAATTGTCCAATTAACTCAACTTACAAAAATGAAGGTGGGTTAAATAACATTAAATTTTTGTGTGCTGATAGTGTTTTGAACTATAAGCCCACTCGAAAAGTATCAACTATCTTTGTACCCACTACCATTGGCCCCTGCTGAAAACAAAAGGATGAAAGAAGGGATGGGGGCGATTTTACTTCCCTTGCAGGAATGGTAACATTATCTTGGTGTAGGGTTCATGGACCAAGCAATTGCTAGTTATTTTGGGTAGTTGATGAGTGGATTATAATATTGCCTTCAATTATAGCTTATTGCAAAATAATGACTGTTGAATTTTAGCTTAATTTATTGAAATTTTGGTGTCTGCTCTTCAATTTCTTTTCCCCTTCCTCTAAATTTTAATTTGAAGCGTTTGACTTTTTTATAGGTACCTTTTCTTATTCTTGAAATTTGTGGCCTCTGTAATTCCAACTATTGAATATGATTACACCATGGACTTTGATCTTGGCAGCTCCAGCACATAACTAGGGTAAGTTTCAATATTTGAACTAGGGCTTTCCTTGGTCCCTCAACTTTTAAACTTCTATCAGTCAGTCCCAACTTGCATAGTGGTTCAACTACCCGGTTATTGTTCTTAAGATTCAGACAGTGAAGTAGACGGTCTGCTCATAATCCTCCATAATTGGAATATTTGTTGATTTTGAAATCTAACAATATTTGCCATGAAGATGGACTGTGAATTGTCTTATCCTGGTTGATGGGCATAATGCTTTTAATATCTATTTCTATTCCTATTATATAAAGCACACGACTCGGAAGCTTTGGTAACTGTTAAAACTCCACATCCCGTATCTGCTAAACAGTTTTCAAATTCAATCTTCATTCATTAAACTGCCCACAAGTTTAGATGTATAATTGCAAAACACCCAAAAGGTTTTTTTGTTAATGTTTATCCCCAAATTAGCCCCAACAATATTAGTTTTTCCAAATATTTGTCTTTGCATAACAGTTACTATAAGGATTAAAAAGTAAAATCAACCAACCAAAATTATTGAAGAAAGAAGTTGTGGATGTAGTAATTCATGTCTTTCTACTCATGTATGGTTTGTTCAATTGCATACGTTAGTGTGCTCAACTCTTCTAGTCTTTCTAATACAAAGAAACTACTGAAGAAAGAAGTTGCTTGACCTCAATTTCCTTCCATTTTTGCATTTCTTGTGCCGAACTAATGTAAGAATGCATCATATCATTGTGGATGTAGTAATTCATGTGTCTCTTCTCAATTGAGGATAGATAATTCTTTTATTTTCCTTCTGCATTTACATGTGTTTGGTGGTAAGTGTTAACTTTTTTTTTTTTGCCAGATGGAAGCTGGGAATTTGATGTAAAGATGAAGCAGTTGGTTAATGAAGGTGTGCTCTTGACTCTTCCTCACCCTGCTTCAATCCATTGCACTTGTACATGTCATTCATTTAAATAATGTAACTTGTTTGGAGCCTGAAAATTTGAAGTGTTGTCATACGACTGTTGTATAAAATACAATTCACTTGCTTTTTGAATGTGCAGGTATTTGCCAATGACTCTTATTTCTGATTTGTTTGTGAATTGTTTGTTTTTTTAGAAAAATATAGTTATAGTTTTTGAGTTATTTATGATTTTTTTTTTAAAAAGCATTGAATTGTGTGTGTGCATGAGTGGACAACATGATCACACACAACTGGCTTTAAATTTTCATTATTTACTGAAATTGATTCCGAAATTTTAAAGTTTTAACTAAATAAAAGAAAGAAAAAGTGAACGTGGCCACCGTTTAATCTTGGGAGAATTACATGGAGGTGAGGGAAGGGGAAAACAAATTACACATGAAGGGTGCAAGTGATATTTATACTTTTATAGTCTTTCATTTGCATCTCATTATAGATACACTTGTATTTTTATGTGTTCGTAATTTTTTTTTCCTTCTTCTGCCTGTATGTAATTTCCCTTTTTATCTTTTACATGACTTTTTTATTTTACTTTTTTTAAATTTAAAAAAAGGACTTGTGAGGAAATTTTTGGTGAAATGACAAAAATGCCTTTGTTTGCTCTCACTAGGTGAATCATCAAAAGACATTTTTGTCAATTCACATAAAGTTTGAGGCACTCAAAAAGTACTATGCTTTTTATCTGGATGGTCTTATTTTGCAAAATGGATAATAGACCAAAGTATTTAAAAATAAATAATAAAAAAACAAAACTTTGAAAAGTAACAGGAATGTGAAGAAAAATGTGAATTTCTTTGCAGCAAAAAATCTGATTTAAAATTTAAAAAATGCCTATCTATGTGATTTAAGAGTAATTGTCAAGAATGCTTTTGGTGCTATTAAGCTTTCTAAAAATATGATTGTACCATTTTAAATTAGAAAATCAGATATTTTTTACAGCCTACTGTTAGAATTTACAAATTAATATCATTCCTTCTACAATCTAAAAGCCTATAATATAAGAAGAACTAGAGTGAATATGAGATAAATAGAAACAAATAAAATAATTATAAATCAATAAAGTATAGCAGGATATAATTTTGAGAACTTTAGTTGTTATTTTTGCATCCTTGTCAGTTGTGTTGAAGGTATGTCTACGGATTAAATTATTCGAATTAAATTTGTGTTTGGTTCGTTACAAATTTATTCGAGATTGATTCATTATATAAAGGAGTCAAATTTAAACATATTTTGAAACTCATCAAGTTCATGTTCGCTATGTAAATAAGAAGTTTAAACACATTTTAAAACTTATTAAGTTTATTAAGTTTTCAAGTTAAAACAACTTAATACTTGGCTTGATTTTAATTTGTTTATAGCCGTATTCCCAGTCACACTATCAATTTATAATTATTTTCTGGTTTCTTATTTATTATTTGACATATTCTAATTAAATAAAAATTTAAAAAAAATGGGAGAGGGGGTACATATGTCCTTTTGAAGAAGTTTGCTCTCACTGTATGTATAAATGACATCCTACACTGCACCTCCTCCTCTATCCCATAACCTCCATCACATTATACATTCACACACACACACACACAGAAAAACAGATCATGCAGATGATGGTGATGATGAGCTGCCGCTTCTTTGCCGTGATTTCAATCGCCGTCTTCCTCTCTGTAGCTGCTGCCGGAGACTCTTCTGTAAGTACCCCATTAATTACTCACCATTTCTTTCTTTGGATCTCAATTTTTTTCTCAAAAAAAAATAAAAATAAAAATAAAAAATAAAAATAAAAATCAATATCCAATGATCAGATCTAATAAGGATGTTGTTGATGATGATCAATGGTGAACAATCAACATCATTATCAGATCCCTATCATACATTTTATCATCCTCAACTATGCAGATCGGACTGGGATGCTCTCTCATTCATGTTGTTGCATTGCATCCCATAATTGTATATACACACCTACAAATATAAGATGACTGTTATATGTCATTTTTTTAATAGTTTGTATTATTATCATATTATGTAATAAGATATTGTTTGATTTTATTAAGTCCTGAATAATTATCACCAAGAGAATCAAACATTAATATCCACGTAGATGAAGGTGATATAAAATAATGACAAAAAAAATCAATGATATATAACAATTCTCAATATTGGTTCATGGATTGTTGAGGAGAGTTTAGACTAATTTTCCCCTCCCATTAAATAGTAAGATCTATATAATATTTTTTGTATGGAGTAATATCATATAAATAGAAAAATTATATAAAATTATGTGACAAGTGTTGATTTATCATTTTTAAAGCAAAAGATCGATTATGATGATTTATATTTTTTGAAAATATCAATGTCACGTCATGCTTCTTTCTCAATAATTATGTATAAAATTTTGGAAATATATATATCATTTTTATTTTAGATGTATGCCAAAAAAAAAATGTTGAACTTTTAACCTCATTTTACACGGGGGGAAAAATTGCAAAAAAATTGGTAACAAGTAAAAAATAATTGCCAAATAGATGAGAATCTATAATATTTGCAATTGACATGGTAAAAAAAATTTTGATGAAACCTTTGTGATTTGATACAGAATGATATACCAAATGAGTGTGTATACACACTTTATGTACAAACAGGCTCAGGCATCAAATCAGGAACAGACTCGACGATTAGTATGACTTTAGGCGACTCAAGTGGCCGATCAGTGTGGATCCCAAATTTGGAATTGTGGGGCTTAATGGGCCGCAACCATGACTACTTTGAGATGGGAGACCTCGACATCTTCAGTGGGCGAGGCCCATGCATCGGTGGCCCATTGTGCCACCTCAACCTCACCTCCGATGGGTCAGGGGCCCATCACGGTTGGTTTTGCGAGTACATTGAGGTCACTTCTACTGGGCCTCACAAGGAGTGTAGCCAGACCATCTTCTACGTTGATCGGTGGCTCGCCACCGATGCTCCGCCCTTTGATTTGACGGTTGTGCTGGATGGGTGTTTGAAGGATGATGGTCCGCGGAAGCATGGGGAAACTGGGGCTTTTGTTGTTGGTAAGCAGCAGCAGCAGCCCATTGGGTCTGCTTCAGAATGATGTGGGCTTTATAGGAATGCAAACTTTGAGAGCATTTTTTTGTTTTTTTGTTGGGTTTTGTTTTTGCGCTATGCTAAGATCATCAAATGAATCGTGAAAGAGTTCACTAAAAATGCAATAGATGCATGGGATTAAATTCAGTTATGGTGGTTCTACATTCAAAATAAATTTAAGTCTATCAATAGATTTTTTGTGATTCATTCTATATTTCTATAATCTGTTCTTAGCATTATTATTTGGTTTTGAGTTTTACAAATAGTTTTGTAATTTTTTTAATGTTTTCTAAATATTTTAATATTTTGAGTAATTTTTTTTTAAAAAAATATACTAAGATACACTTAAACAGTAAAATATTTATAAAAAAAACTTTAAAAAAAAACACTAAATACAAAAATTTACAAAAAAAAATTATTACATATTTTTTTTGTTTTTTTTGTTTTTTCAAAATTGGACATTAGACCAAACCCCAATGTTTGATATTTGTGTTCATTATAATTAGTTTCTCTACATTACTTGAAACTATACTTACTCACGCATCTTCAACCCATCTTTTACTTTATACAAGTCTTCATTTATTTGGTGAAAAATATTTTTATTTTATATTTTTTAATATTTTGTACAACAAAAATTAAAAATTAAGAAATATGTTTTTTTTGTTTGTTTGTTGATAACTGAAAAAAAACTAATTTTGGCAAAAGGGGTTAATTACACTAAGATCTCTTCAGCTACTAGTGAATATCTGCTTATCCCTTCATTTATTTTTTAGCTTTTTTGATTAGTACGAAAAAACATGCAAAAAAAGTATAGAGTGATGTGACTTAAATAAATCAATAAACTACTTATTTCTTATCTACCTAAAACAAGTCATATTTTTTTTTTCTTAAACTATTAACAAAGTATCACCTTTACTCCCTGTAGACAACTTTCAAAAGGGGAGTATTTTCATAATTTTGTACTTGAGTGGAGAGAGTCAACATGTACGAACTCTTTCATATAGAAAAATGCTAGAGATTTTAAAAATTTTATTAAAATTTCTACCAAATATCTCACATGAATGTAGAATCCACGTAATTTCTACCAAATATCTCACATGGGTGTAGGATCTACACCATGTGGGTCCTACACTCATGTGAGATATTTGATAGAAATTTTGATAAAACTTTTGGGATCTCTAAGGGCATCTCCAATGGTTCACCAAAAATTTCATCAAATCTAAGTAAAAAGACGAATTCCTCAATCTGATATTAGCCACTCCAACGGTGAATACTGTAGCTTTTATCAAAACACTGGACGTCCATGGAGATGATCGACCGGAAAGAGGAAAATGATTTTTTTTTTTCCCACACTCAAAAGCATCACCTGATTTCAAATTTTCATGATTTTTGTAAGGGTAAAATAGGTCTTGGTTGAGCGAGTTAGAAACATCTTAGTGTAAAGGTAAAATATCACCTTTACTCCCTGTAGACAACTTTCGAAAGCGGAGTATTTGCATAATTTTATACTTGAGTTGAGAGAGTCAACATGTACGGACTCTTTCATATAGAAAAATGTTAGAGACTCCAAAAGTTTTACCAAAATTTCTACCAAATAGCTTACATGGGTGTAGGATCCACACCATATGGGTCCCACACTCATGTGAGATATTTGTTAAAAATTTTGATAAAATTTTTGAGATCTCTAAGGGCGTCTCCAATGGTTCACCAAAAATTTCATCAAATCTGAGTAAAAAAAAGACGAATTCCTCAATCTGATATTAGTTACTCCAACGGTGAATATTGTAGCTTTCATCAAAACACACTGGACGTTCAGGGAGACGACTGGTCGACCGACTGGAAAGAGGAAAATGATTTTTCTTTTTTCCACACTCAGAAGTATCACCTGATTTCAAATTTTCATGATTTTTGTAAAGGTGAAATGGGTCTTGGTTAAGCGAGTTAGAAACATCTTAGTGTAAATTTTAGTGAATCTGTCTTTCGCTTTCTGTGTGTGTGTGTGTGTGTGTGTTCATTCGCAATCCTTTGACCCTTTGCTCCATGTGTTTGTGTGTGTGTTCTAATCCTTTAGCTTTTGAGGGGTGCAACAATGGTGATGGAACGTCTCCAAGAAAACATGGGTGATGTAAACATGCAATGTACAAACCACCCTTACAAAAATAACACACCATGTAGGATCTGTGCTTTTTGCCTTCAATAAAAGCTTGGAAATCTAGTCTTCTCCTCTTTCCCCATAGCTGTCTTCCCTTGTTCTTTCTCATCTTCATCTCTTTCCTTCAGATCTGACTTTGATGGTGGATCTACATCGACCCTCTCTGTTCGACCCAACCACCAATTCACTCTCTTTTACTTATTTTTGTGGGAATTGTTGAAGTAACCGGATGTCCGGTGTGTCAGATCACCAACGGTCCTACATAGTAAACTGGTGAAAAGTGCCTAGATTCTCAGTTTGGTGAAACATTTTATTTTGCTTATCAACTGTTTAATATTTCTACTCCAATCATACTTTTAATTGAGCTATTTATCTAAATATTATTAACTATATAAAATGTTACATCAGCAACAAAGATGGAGAGAAATAATCGTAATAATTAAATATATTTTGCCTATTATTTGAAGGCTAGCTACATGTAGGTAGTAAATGTAAGTTAAGCTAAAATGTCTAATTATATGTCTAATCCATTAAAGTTAAAAAAAGTAAATTATAATAAATATTTTAACTAATAATATTATATGCCTAATAGATTGAAGATACTTTTATAAATTAAATAATTTTTTTCTAAATTTTAAAAATTTTAAATTTAGTTGAGCGTCGACCTAATCAAACCCAATCCACATTAATTCAAAATCCTACCCCACGCATTTTCCTTAGCCCAAACTAGAATCAGATTTTGGAACTCATAAAACTGGCCCACAATTCCTTTAGCAGCATAAACAACCGTTCTTTTCAAGCCCAAAACCAGATCGAAAATGGCCGTGTTTGGCAACTAGATTTTTGGGTTTTTTTTTTGATTTTTTTACTACAAGATAAATATTTTACAAAATCAAAAAAAATTAATTCAAACAAAATATCACATCAAACTCCATAATCATTTCATTTTTTCTTTCACAAACATCACATCCAATCACAAAAAAATTCAACCATCTTTCTAAACACAATTTTTTTTTAAACAATATCTTACATTAAAAAAACTTAAAAAAAAAAAAAAAAAAACTCACTTTCCAAACACCCACGTTAACTCCAATTCTTCTTCTACACGGCTTTGCTCTCCACCACCGAGAGAAAGATAGCTCGACTCGCGTGTTGTAAATTCGTTCGAACTTGATTATTTAGATAAATAAGTTAAATTTATATGTTTTTAAAAATTTATTAAAATTTTTAAATTAAATTTAAACCGTTAAATATTTATTTTATTCAATTTATTAAATTTAAAATTATATAAAATCCATAGTCTTCCTCAACAAGATCTTCGAACCTTTGTCACCCTTGTGTTGTGTTTAGGGTTTTTATCAGTCTACCCTAAACTTTGCAGGAGCTTGTGGACTCTGTTGAATCACATCTCATGGAATCGCAGTCTCAATTCGAACCTCCCTCGCAAAACCCACTTCAAAACTCGTCCGAAACCCTAGTTTCGAATAATCAGAATTCCTACGATCAACAAACCCTAGATTCGTATGGGCAAAGAAAATTAGAAGCCCTAGAGAAATCACTCGATTCGAATGACCATACTCGAGAGATTTTAGGTTCAGATTATCAGAATCAGAATTTGATGCCGAAAACCCTAGGTTCGGATGCAAGTTCTGCTCAAGCCCTGGCTTCTGATAATCAAAAGCTTGAAAACGGGTGTGTTGGGGGTACTCAGATTGATAATTCCTCGAAACCTGAAATTCACAAGACATTGTTGTCTGAAAATGGTTTAACCAACACACACAGTGGCACAGACAGAGACTACTCAGGAGGGGAAGAGGAAACAACCAGTAGGCGTAGGTGGCGAAGCCGGTGGGATCCTCCTCCGAGCGAATCAAATGAAGGGGCTGGCAGCGACGGCGGTGGGACTGGCAGGAAGAGGAAGTCCCGGTGGGCTGACGATGATCCGAAGCCGGTAATTCAGCTTCCTGATTTCATGAAAGATTTCACTGGAGGTATTGAGTTTGACCCTGAAATTCAATCACTTAATAGTAGGCTTCTTGAGATTAGTAGAAAATTGCAATCTGGGTTACCTTTAGATGACCGGCCTGAAGGTGCTCGGTCACCTTCGCCCGAACCCGTATATGATAACATGGGAATACGAATTAACACTAGGGAATATCGTGCCCGTGAAAGATTGAATAGAGAGAGACAAGAAATTATTTCACAAATAATTAAAAAGAACCCTGCATTTAAGCCCCCAGCTGATTACCGGCCTCCGAAACTTCATAAGAAACTTTACATACCAATGAAAGAATACCCGGGTTATAATTTTATAGGACTTATTATTGGGCCTAGGGGGAATACACAGAAGAGAATGGAAAGAGAGACTGGAGCAAAAATTGTGATCCGGGGTAAAGGGTCGGTGAAAGAAGGTAGGTTGCAACAAAAGAAGGATTTGAAACCAGACCCTTCAGAGAATGAGGATTTACATGTCTTGGTGGAAGCTGAGACACAGGAATCCCTCGAAGCTGCAGCAGGCATGGTGGAGAAGCTCTTACAGCCCGTTGATGAAGTTCTCAATGAGCACAAGAGGCAACAGCTCAGGGAACTTGCTGCTTTGAACGGAACTATAAGAGATGAGGAGTATTGTAGATTATGTGGTGAGCCAGGCCACAGACAATTTGCTTGTCCTTCTCGTTTTTCAACTTTCAAGAGTGATGTTCTTTGTAAAATATGTGGTGATGGTGGACACCCAACTATTGATTGTCCGGTGAAAGGAACAACTGGAAAGAAAATGGATGATGAATATCAGAACTTTTTGGCAGAGCTAGGAGGAACGATCCCTGATTCTGTAACCAAACAAAGCTCTGCAACACTGGCCCTTGGTTCGGGCAGCTCAGGAAGCAATCCTCCTTGGGCAAGTGGTAACAGTGCTGGAGGTGTTGGTGGGACAACTCAGGCAGGCTTAGGGGCCAACGGAATTAAGCCTGCAAAGGAATATGATGATACAAATTTATACATCGGCTACTTGCCACCTACTCTTGACGATGGTGGTTTGATCAGATTGTTTTCACCTTATGGTGATATAGTGGTGGCGAAGGTTATTAAGGACCGAGTTACGGGATTGAGCAAGGGTTATGGTTTTGTGAAGTATTCTGATATGCAACAGGCCATTAATGCTATTACTAGTATGAATGGTCATCATCTAGATGGAAGAACGATAGCTGTGAGAGTTGCTGGTAAGCCCCCCCAGCCTGCTGTCCTTCCGGGCCCTCCCACTCCGGTTTTGCCTATTCATCCTGCTCCCAACCAGGCTGTTGGTGCCTATCCATCACAGCAGTTTACGCAAGGTGGTTCCATTGGAAATACACCTCCTGGGAGTTATGCTGTCTCTCCAGTTCCATGGGGACCACCTGTACCTCCTCCTTATGCTCCTTTCCTTCCTCCGGGGTCAACCATGTATACTCCTGTCCCTGGTCAACCTGTGCCTCCTTATGGAGTACAGTATCCTCCAACAATGACAGTTTCTTCTGGTGCCCCATCACAGACCGTGCCTTCTGGTGAAGCACAACAAAGTTACCCACCTGGAATTCAATCTCAAAGTACCACACCTGTTCAAACTGCTCCTGCCAATATCTATGGGAACTCTGTAGCTGTGGTGCCCCCAACTGTTCAACCTGTGTACCCAACTTCTTTTGGTTACCCATCTTACTATGGTGTAACCCCTCAACAACCACCTCCTCCTCCTGTCTCTCAACCAGCAGTGGACCATTCACAGAAAATTGGAAATGTGCCCTGGGCCACAAATCCTCCTATGCCTCCTCCTGTTTCATCTGATGAGAAGGCAACCTATGGTACAGATGCAGAGTATGAGAAATTCATGGCCGAGATGAAATAGTGTGGCTTTGTCAGTACCACATCTGGGTTTACAGGTAAGAATGCTGCATTCTAATCCTTATTTTTATATCATTGCATATATATATATATATATATTGTTTAATTATAGAGAATTTGGTTTGTCAAACAGTTGACAGTTCTATTTATTTGCATCTGCTGATGATATGCATAATACTCTTCGAAATTAGGTCCTTGTTTGGTCATTTATGAGCAGCCTGTTTTTAACTGGTTTGTAGCCCTCATGGTGTTGAATTTTGTGCAAAATTTTAAAAACTTTAGACAAGTCACTCCTTTGAGGGTTTGGTGAGTAGGGCACTAACATATGCAGTGGAGGGTGTACTCATTTATCCCCAGTTAGCGAATACCCTGCCCTGTGAGAATCCTTCAACCTCTATTTTTATAGAAGTTTCATTTTTGTGGCATCACTCACCTCCCTTTTGCTGTTTTATTTTATTTTATTTTCTATAAAGATCTTGTTGTAGATATTACACTGACAATAGTTGGTGATCTGTGGCAATGAATCTTTGATTATTTGTAACATTCTTGTTGGATTTAAAAGTATACCATACCTAAAACATCTGCCAAAGGAGTGCTTTTTTGAATTTTATGGTGACATTTATGTAAACAACCAGAAACTTCGAGGAACAAACGTATTTGTAGGTTGATTAAGGATTAGGTAAAATCCCTAGTATGTGTTCATTATAATCATTCCCATTAGCTATATCATTGCTTTAAACTTTTTTAAAGTGAACTAGATTATTGTACCAGTAAACTGTTTAACCCCATTGATCCATTTGAAGTTGATATGGTTTTTGCCTAACATGTTCGATTTGATCAGTGATCAAGTAGGGTCAATTTCTGCACCAGCGATCCCCACATTACAGGTCAACTTGTAACATCCGCAATTTATGAGATATTTAATATTTTACAATTTGTGGGATCCAACTGTTTTGGCTGCTTCAATTTCTCTTTCCTGTTTTTAAATGTCCAATTTCCTTTGTATATTTGATAGTGTTTTGGTGTTTCCTTGCATGCATAAACGTCACATAGCTTACATTCTGGAGCTGATTGGAGCAAGAACTGCTGTATGTTGTAGGATTTTGTGTAGGGTTTTTTCTACAAAACAATTGAACTTAGGTTGATGATGTCTTCTGTGATTTACTGAATAATTTCTCTTTTAACTTTTTTGCCATCAACTCTTGAAAAGAAACATCAAAATTTATTTCAAGATATAGATCGATGAAAGGAAACAATTTCAAATTAGAGAGAAGAATGGAGGGAGGGCAATAGATTTGCATTTACACCCATATGAAGTTAAACTTCAGAATTTTTATTTTAAAGACACTAAATCTGTCCATTTGCTTTCCACATGTACTACCTTCTCAGACCTATAAATTGTAGCCATAAAACTAATGTAGTTTTTGTTTGTTCTTGAGCTTGTGAGGTCAGCAAATTCAAATCCTGTTTGATCAAAATGAAGATTTCTTCTCTCTCTCTCTCCCTCTCTATATATATATGTGTGTGTGTGTGTGTGCGCGCGCGCGCGCGTTGTAACCTTTCTTATTAGTGTGAAAACTGTTGCAGTCGCAGATTTAGCCCTAGTACCTCCTCCTTATGCTAGATCTTTGTTTTCTTTTTGTGTGTGCGTGATTTATCATTTTTGTGCGTTTGTTCTTCTTTGTTTTTCGTGTCTTACCAATCCTGTTTAGGTGTTACGGATTCTTAACATTTTTCCCTGCAGCTATCTGCACACAAGGATTTATGATAAAAAGAAGTGTGGAATGTATGTGGATATAGAATATTCCTTTTGCATTTGAATTTTTCATTATATCTTTGGTACTTCTATGCAATTTGTTTTATGCAACTATATGGCTTCCAATGTTTGTTTTAATCATATTTAGCTTAATGCAAAATTAGCATTCTGTAGACTTGAGTTTTTCTCTGTTGCTTATACTTTGGCCCCAATAAATTTTAGTTTGCATATCGTGTTGTTTCCTTCATATATTTTTTGTAAGCCTTATTGCACAGGTGCTTCCTGCCTGGGTATACATATCCGTGTTAACAGTTCGCAGCTTGTCCTGTTTCTTGAAGTGGTCATCCTTCACATCCTTCCTTCTGTTCCCAAAAAATTCCTTTCTAAGAAAGAAAAATAAATAATGTCAACTGTTCACTTTTTTTACTGCATTGTTTTTTAAAATTGTTTTCACATTTCTTAACATATTTCTTTTGTTACTATTGCAATATTTTGACAGGCTTTCTTGGAGCACTAGTGAACCTGATTACTTACCTCTTGCCATGACTTCTTGTTGGAAGTTTGGGACTCACATCTTTAACCTTGCTGTACTGTTATTACAATTTGCAGAGACATGGCTAAATGTTCAGTTCAGTTCATGAGTCCTTATGTCGGAGTAGTCATTCGGAAGCTTCTCAATATTCGGTTGCATTTATGTAGGATTTGATTTTCATCATTTGGGTGGTCATTGCTGCCTATACAGCGTCTGGTTTCTATTATTTTATTCAGTTGTTAGTTGTCTGAGTTTATTGGTGGCTGCTACTAACATTTGTGGTTGTTCTATTTCATTGACTTATTGTTGTTTGTTACCTATTTTGTTGCTTGCTTTCTGTTTTAATCGAGTGTTGGTTTTCACTCTGACATTTTTTTTAGTCATCCTAGTTTGCAATGGGCCTGAAGCAGCCAGATGCATCTGTTCATCATTCCCCTGAAGGTGCTGGGGGTATGTGATAGTGATTATGTATTTACTCATGTTTATCATATATGCCTGGTTAGCTTTTACGTTCTTACTCTGATGACCTTTCTAGCTTTTATGTGGCAGGTCAAAGAACTATATATGCAATGATTGGCTTTTGCAGTGTTGTGTTGAGGTGTCCTTGAAATTTGAGGTCTTCACAAATTGTCCAATGGACAATTGTTTAAGTTTTGAAATACTTTTTGATAAGTAAGTCAGGGAGACCGCCAAAATTGATTTCTTTACTGGGGAATGTGGTCTAGACCTCTGGTGTGCTCCTAGGGAATCTCAAATTTGAATATATACCCTGCAAAATGAGGCTAGTTTTGATTTATTTGACTTCATTGATCTGGGTCAAAAAATGATTGGTAAAGGAGTGATATGCTGCAGATTGAAGCCTGAAGGTGTTAGGACAGAGAAAGGTATAAAAAGGAATGGTGGAATGTCTAAACAATTGTTAGCCTCCATTGACTGATTGGAGCTGCCTTTCTTTAGAAAACATGCTGGGTATTTTGAATCTGTTACAAATTGCATTTTTAAATTTTAACCAAACAAATTTACTACAAACATACTTTTATTTCAAAAAACAGTCTATAGAAGAAAGCTTGAATTGGATTTACAAGTTTGTCCTTGTGCACATAGTTGTCCAATCCCAAGTTCTAACTTCTGCACATCTTGAATTTATCGTGTTTCAATTAAATGTATTTGTGTTTTTATTTTTCAAAATTTGGAAAACACAACTAAAAATGTTACAACAAAAAGTGTTTTCACTTGTTACCTAAACAAGTGAAAACATGCGGATGAACAGTAAAACAGATGCCCTTTTCCACTTCAAACTCCAAGAAAATAAACAATAACTGTTTTCCTCCTGTTTTCTAGAAACAAAATAGGAAACATGTAATGTAACCAAATGACTCCTATGTTTTCATTTTTAGATTAGTGTTGCATTTCTGTAATTATTTAGTTGTTGGAACAAGTTATAATATGCATACACTTATGTACATGTATTTGGACATGTTTGCTCATTTGCTGTTGTTAAGGGGGTCCAATGAAGGGGGTTCATATGGTACTCGTATGATACTTCTGTATATACGAAACACGTATTCAAATTTTTTTTTTTCCTTTAATTTTTGGTGTACCTAGATGTATCAGTATATATTCAAGCTGTACCATAATCTCAGTCGAAACAGTATTTTCTTCCACTATAAGAATAAAATTCATTGCACTAGACTAGACTTATTTTTTATTTTGAGTTTTAATGTTTAGCATGATTTTAAAATTAAGTTATGGTTTGTAAGTTATTTAATATAATGATATTTAATTTGATTTATACTTTAATTTTTGGCATTGCATGTTAATTTGTAGATTGGATCTTACGAAATTAAACTATTTAATTTGCATTCTCTCTAAATAAAAATAAATATTTTTTTATAAATGTACCAAAGTGTGTCTGTACTCTATTTTTTTTGTTTTTTGGAATTTTACCCGTATCGACGTACCCATATTGTACTAGTATCAATATTTGTACGCGTACCCGTACCGCGGCTTCATTGATTGACATACACTTGGTTTGTGTGAGTTGTAAACTACTTAATCATGACCAAGAAGTACATCTACTTTTAGGACTCTTGTTTCTATGCTATGCATCATTTTATTCATTGCATTTTGTAAATTGTATTCTGATTTATGAGTGCTTGCATAAAGTGGTGATGCTTATTTGTATTACTAAGCATTTACAGCATCTTTATACTATAAGTATTTCGATTAAAATAATATCAGTATTTATCACATTTAACTTTTAGTTTATTATGGTAAACCAAACAAATGAAATGGACAACTTTAGATTTACCCTGGTGGAAAGTTGTTTTGAGCTTTCTTTCTGGATTTAGTTATCTACTCTAAATATTGCTAAGCTTACCACATATTTTATACCATATATTATGCTTATCATCTTGTTTCAACATATTGGTGTAATGGGTCTATTCATTTGTGTATATCTCTAATGCAATGCTGACAGTTAGGCTGACACATCATATGGTAAGATAAGATGGTAAAATAGATGGTCAATTGTTGCGCATATTCGTCTTAACTTTGTAACCTTTTACAGCACTATTACTTTCCCTTGATTTTGCTTGTCATACAAACTTTCTTCACTTG